GTTTCATATATATATATATATATATATATATATATATATATATATATATATATATATATATATATATATATATATGTGTGTGTGTGTGTGTGTGTGTGTGTGTGTGTGTGTGTGTGTGTGTGTGTGTGTATTTATATGTTTTCTTATATGTTTTCTTTTTAAACAAAAATATTATTTTGCCTCCACAGCAGAATTGTGGAATAAGTGACAGATAACGACCGCTGTAAATGAGACATTTTAGCCATTTGCGTGCATGGTGCCGGTTAATGTCATCCTGGATGCAGCGATTTAAGGATTTTAGCTACGTTTGCCTTTTATTTGAAATTAACCTAAAAGTCCTTAGTGATGAATCAGACTGATCCCTTTCTTTAGAACTACGAGAAAGCAGGGGACTCACAGGAAGTGGCAGTCCGACTCTGTCTCCGAGTGTGTAAACTCCAAGCCCACCTCCAACGCACTCTGAAACAAAAGAACCCTTGTCTCATTTAATGTGAATGGAGACACCTACGAATATATATTTGTATATTTGTATATATATATGTATATATGTATAGACATGTACATATGTATATGTCTTTGTTTTATTTTGCTTATGGAGCCTGTAACAAAAATAATTTCCCTCTGGGATTATTAAAGTATTTCTGATTCTGATTCTGATATATATATACATATACTGTATATATATAGAAAATTTATACTAGGAATCATCAAAACAAATAAAAAAAATCTAAGAATATATATATCTTTTTTTATAAAGTTTCAGGAGTTCCTTCGCTTGCTTGAGGTGGGAAAAAAATACATGGGTGAGATAAAAGATTTGAACTTTTTCCCCGATGGATAGGACCTACCTTGGTGACCACAGAAATGCCCCCCAGCTCCTTGCCCACCAGACTCTGCATGATCCACTTGAAGGCTTCCTTCACCTGGATTACATCATCTTTGTCATGGACCATACTCTTCTCTCTGAAGCACCCAAAAAAATAAGAATAAAAAAAAAAATTTAAAAAAGGGAAAAAACAGGATATCTGATTTAAAAAATTGACAGTGGAGAGCAGTTTTTTTTACCTCATCCTTGCCTTGACGTAGAGCCAACAGGAGTGCTGCGAGATTCAGAAAGGCGGAAACAACATTAACGGCACTGGGACGAGTCGGGGGGTCATTTAATAAAGACAGTTGAACAGGAAACTGGACGCAGACCTCGCGGACACTCAGCTGAGCGGGTAGGGAGACGGACAGCATGAGGGTGTCGAACTCGTACTGCTGGGACTTCACGGCCTCGGCTATCTGCGGGTATGCAGCACAAACGGTCTGACGTCAGTCCCCCAGAACTCTGGCACTTCATGCTATACTAGGAATATTCAAAACTAGCTAACAGACAAACAAAAATACATGAACATTTCCCTCTCTGGCACCTTAACTGCCTGGGTTGTGCTGCATAAATCTTGCAAGATTCCGAAGCACACGACGCAGATGCGCGGCTCTTGGCTTCCCCCCGCCGGAGCCGACGCCCCCGCCCCGGGTTCCAGTTTGGCCCTTTTGCAGGGCGGGTCCGGAGGCGTTTCCGACTCTGCCTCGTCGCGGGACTCGTCTTTAAAAGCGGGGTCTTGACCCGCCGAATCCTGGACTTTGTCGTGTTCTGCGTCGGCGATAAAGGCATTAAGTTCCTTAAGCGTGTCCTGCGGGAGAACAAAGATGACCAGTCAGATGACGGTAGCCATGGCGGTGGCATTTTGCCCAGGCTACTTTTTGTGATTATTTTTTTGCTCATTCATAGTCATAAAAAGTAGCAACTCCCAAACTGAATCCAATCCCATATTAGAAGTATGAAAAAAATACAACCATTTTCACATATACATGGACTTTTAAATCACTGCAGAAGTCAAGAAGCATTTGCAACATATAAGTACACACACAGAAGAATATTTGTCTTTCAGACTAGATAATCTCTTTTAAACAATTCAGGATTCCAATAATCTATTTAAACCATCCACAATTTATGTTAATGCGGTCCGCAATTAAACAAAATGTAAAAATAAATGTCTTTTTCCATTTTTGGCTTTTACGAAAACAGTAAAAAGGTGGCCGCCTATAGATGACAGCAGCAGGAGTCTTACTTGCTGTGGTTGCCTGTAGGCGGCCTGAACGCTCACGCAGCAGAATCTGAGGACGCAGCGAGCGCAGCAGCCGGCTGACAGCAGCATCCGGACGATGGGTTTGTCCTTCTCCTTCAGCGGCAGCATGACGGCGGTCTGCCTGCTGAGAAGCATGAACAAGCGTTCGGTCTCTGGTATCTATCCACACAGCGGACTTTGTTTCCTTCTCATATTTACATGTTCAGGTGGTTCTTTGGATAGGTGAGTGGGATCCAGGTCTTCATAACATGAGTACAAGGAATAGAGATTCCAAAAGGATGCGTTTGAGGTAATTCATTAAAACATAGTGACAAACTATTCATCAACAGCTGTACTGTGACAAGAACACCAGCCCTTAGCTGTACATGACTCAACAGAAAACAACAGATATGTAATTCTAAAAGTTATAAACAATGTTGCAACATCCACAAACGCAGACGGTCATGGCTTAAAATCACTCCTTTTCGCACAAAGGGATACATTAACGATTATAAGGTTATTGTTTTTTTTATTTTGTTTTTTCATGGGCTCCGTTTCATTCACATCTTTAAGGTTTTGCACCATTTTTTTCCTTTTCTTTACCAATTCCACACGGAGATGGGGTTTTATCTTTGTACATTTAAGGTGTTACTAAGGTGTTTTCAGCATTGACAAATGTTCACACACAGCCACCGACAGCACTACACTGGAGATAATGGCCATCACCATTATCGGTTGCAGAACACAAATCAAACCATGCTTCCAGCTCTGTGATGGAGTGAAACTGAACACAAGAGATTGCAAACAATCAATTGGCTGAAATCCTCTCGGTTTTTGTAACCTGGTACCTACTGCACTGGGGGTGTAGTTGATAGAAAAAACAAACAAACATGTTGGTGGGGGTGTGGTTTGGGCATGTTTTGTTGCACCTGGGCCAGAAGGGCTTGCCTTCTTTTTTAATGGAACAATGAATTCTGAAATATATCTGAGTATTCTTTAGGAAAACTTGAGGACCTCTGGCCATGAACTGTATCTCAAGAGAGGGGTGGGGTGTTATGATCTTGATCCAATAAAAATTTTGCCGAAGGACCTGAAGCGAGGTAAGGGGAAACCTTCCAGCATTCCCTAAAGGACTGATCAACACTACCAGAAATGTTTAAGAGAGGGGTTCACGCCTGATGCTGAAGGTAAAATATGATATATTTTAAAGGCTTTATTGCCTGAAAGTTTTGGTCACAAAGTCTAAGGTGTAAATTGCTGTAAGTGCTGGACGGGGGATATCTGAGACCCATTCTTCAGTGTTCAAAGATGGCTTCCTTGATGGGTCCTATGAAACACTTCTCTATGCAGAATGTTGACATTACTGTTCTTAAAAGTCCCGTCCTCTTTATGAAAATACGCTGTCACTCAGATTATGTCTAGGTGTTCCATCTTGGGGTGGGGACCTGCCATTGTATGAGAGTTTAAAGGGCACTAGAGTATTCTTTAAGCAGTTCTGATATCCATGCCATATATTTCATTACATCTTATTACAATGTTGTTTAGCCCTGATGTCTCAGCTGTTTTGATAAAAGCCCAGTCGGGACCGCCACAGGTTCAAAGAGTTTTTCTTATGTTGATGGTTTTTCTATTTCCCTCAACCTTCGGTCGTACACTCTCAGCCCAATGAAGGATACCTGTTTATTTTCCATAGAATGATGCCAGTGGAAAATAGGTACTGGCCTTTGATGTGGGTTTCCTGTCATTTCTGTGTTAAGGCTTCAGTCCTCTTCAATGAACACTGACTGCACACTCTAAAAAGGGAAACTTTTGGTCCATTACATTTACCCCTGAGAACTTGATGCTGCTCTCTACCAAATTCTTGTGCTCGGTAAAGGCTTCTACTTCCTGAATTTGGAGCTTCACCTTCATGTCGTTCGTATATCTGAACCAGTGACTTTGTAGCTTTCCTTTGTATGAGCTTAGTGCTTTCAGACATTTGTATATTCTATGTGGATAAACAGACTGCTGTGCTGTTTCTGTTAGCACCCATTCTCGAATGGTTAGCTTGTTCAAAATTGGAAAAAAAAGTTTCCCATTTAGCTGGGCATTTCGGCCTCTCTTTCGAAACAATAATTTGACAAAACACACCTGTTCCGACGCATCATTACTTTTAGAACTCACAACAAAATTAGCTTGGTTTGTAGCTAACTGTAGGCATGTAAAGGCAAACAACACACTGAGTTGACTAAACGTTCACCTGCTTTACAAAAAGGATTTGTTGCCTCCGGTGTTCTTTCAAGGTCTGTTTCTCTCTCGACACGATGAAAGATGAAAGAAGACGCGCTTGCCTGCTGAAATCACGTTACAGACGCCGCTTATTTGCACCATGGCGTTACTACGGCAAATGGGAAGGACCAAAACTGTATTCTGCAGCGTTCTGTCAGTTTTCACTGTTTTATTTTAGGTTAAAACGACTTGAAATTGCAGAAAACAGTAACTGCCTTAATTTTCTATTCTCAATAAACAGCTGATTTGGGGATTCTCCGGACTGTTAGCACCATAGACTATGTCTGCTATGCCTTCCACAGAATGGAACTGTTGCTATTGCCTTACTTGTTTGCACTTACTTTGTATAAATAAAGTTAATTGGAAAAAAAATACCCCTAACTGCAAAACTCGCGAGAGACCACATAATCTCGTGATTCATACGGAGAAATTATTTATTTAAAATGATTTCCAACGTTTAATTGGAACTCAACTCAAATCCATGGAAACTCCAAACATTAACGTCACTAATGGAAGCCGCTGAGCCTCATGGCAAGTGATCACAGTGACCCCTTAATAAAAGTACTGACGCTGTGCTGCTTGAAAAATTAGTGACAATGTTAGTATAAACATTAGTTAAATATTAGTGACTATTTCTTTGTATAAAACCAAGCAAAATAATTGTTTGTATATTTTCCTTGAATAAGAACGTTGAATGTGTGTTTAAGAACTTACTAAAGTTTTGAGGCAAATATAGGGACAACGATATTTGTCACGTGACTCCAATAGAATTGTCATTTTTTAACAGCTGGCAAGAAAAATTACCCCTTAACAGCAAAATTCGCGAGAGACCACGTGATCTTGTACTTCTATGTGGAGACACTTGATACATGGCAGTACGTTTAAGGACCACACAGAGAAATCTGGGACAGTTCAGTTTATTAATTTTGCATCAATTCAGCAAAAGAAAAGTTTGAGGCATTTTAGAAAGTAAAGAAAAGAAGTATTTCTCAGATTAGCTATAGTATTACTTCTGAGTAGGAACTAGCTGATCAATGTCTCTGTCCGCCTCCAGCCTCTTCTCTATGGCGAGGAGGAGTTTGACCACAAATTGAGTCAGTTTTACCTCATTCGGACCAAAAGTGGTGGCATTGCTCACATAATACAATTTGGGGGTTTCTGGAGGGGAAAAATCAGCATGAAGCCCAACTTTGACAAAGAGAAAAAGACTTTTGACAGACGAGCTAACATGGGTATCATTCTTCCTGAACTGTGATTGTTGTCAGGAGAGGCTCAGGATTTGACTGGAGCAGAGCGTCAGGGTGGAAAGGCTTTAATTTTGCGGATAAACTAATGTCTATTAAACTTTCCCCCTTTCCAATCAACAGAGTAAATCAGTGGTTTGAGTTTGACAAATGAAGCCAACAAGCTGATTGGCCGCCCTCTGGGGCTGGACACACCCCCTAAGTGACACCTGCTCCTATCGAATTTGGATCACGTGACTGAAGTTTTGAACGTTCTAATTCTATCGCGTGATTCTCAGTCTGGCAATCGGAGGCAATCACCATAGCAACTAGTAAACATTACATCAGAATTACATTACGATCCAGAACGCGGAGGCGCGTCTGGTCTTCAATCTGCCCAAAAAATCTCACGTCACCCCTCTGTTCATTGAACTCCACTGGTTACCTCTGGCTGCCCGTATCAAATTCAAGTCCCTGATGCTAGCCTACAAAGTGCTTAAGGGTATGGCTCCCATCTACTTGAATCCCCTTGCAAAGGCTTATGTCACAACTCGATCACTCCGGTCATCAATGGATTGTCGTCTAGCAGTGCCTTCACAACGCTTAAGACAATCCAGACTGTTTGCATGTGTCATTCCAAGATGGT